AGGTTCAACATAGATTTCAATGTGGACTTTGATTTTGAAACATATGTTAGAGGAAAATATAATATAAAAACTCACAAACTTAAGGATATGGTTCTAACAAGCCAACCCTCATAGTTATTATACATGGATTTATTCAAACCAACTAAGGTGTCTTGTCTAAGTGGAAAGATAAATAAATTTGTGATTGGAGAAACTTCTCTAGATTTATTTAGATATTTTTCATAGAAAAAAATGATGTCACTCTTGAGAAATTTAGGAAATGTTCAAAGAAGATTTAGAACGAAATAGATTTTAAGATCAAAAGGACTAAGAGTAATCATGGTGAGGAATTTGAAGATCTAACATTTTTAGAATTCTCTATTGATCAAAGAATAACACATGAGTTTTCAAATCCAATGACTCAGAAAAATGGAGTTATTGAGAGGAAAATAAGATATTTTTAGACATTTCTAAACAGTCATGGTGAAAAGAGGAGAGCAAAGAAAGGGGGAGCATAGATAAAGAGGGAGATGAAAATAAGAGTAGCTCAAAAACTGAAAAATAACATGTTGATATTTTCTATTCCAATGTTCTGAGTTATGATTGTGAATTTTTAAATTCACTAGACTCTCATTATAACATATATATTATAAGTTTGCATTTACTATTTTAAATTTGAGTTTTGAATTTGAAATGTGTATTTGTCAGAATAGTAGTACTACATGCTAGAAACTTAAATTTAAATATGCATACTAATATAAATACTTTTCTACATATGAAATCAAATAATGTATTAAAATTAAGAAAACAAAATAATTTTATCTTTACGATGTATTCTTATAGTTTTGTCATCACCAAAATGGGAGACAACTATAATATTTAATACATTTTAATGATCACAAACACACATAAGGTGAATTCAAATATTAAATTATCCTTATTGATCGAAATTGATTCATTAATAAATATTCTTTATACTTTTTTTTTTTAAAGAAAGAAAATTTGATTGAGTGATAAAAGTTTGACCTCATTCTGAGGTTACATAAGTGAGATCTCATTTGCACAAGGGGCAAGGATGACATGGAGAATTAAAGACCTCTTTTAAAGAGGGGATGTGATAATATTGGAGATAGACTCTAATGCATTCATCATATTTGAAGAAGACGGTTGATTTGCATTGGGCTGAAAGAGCCTTTGAGTTCATGAAAGTTAGAAGATCTATTCAACAATAGTAGGACGTGTAGACCTCCATATTGTGCGCCATAAGATGTTCCTACAAGACAAGAGTTTGCTGCAGTAAGTGGTTCTAAGAAATAAATAAAATGGTATAAAGTGGTGAGAAAAGAGTGGTTAAGGTAATGAGGAAGATAGAACTATGCTGGAGCATGACAATAAGCCCAAATATGAACTTGCCTTCCTAGTGTTGCACACGTCTAATCCCTCTAGCCAAGATCTTGTTAGTATCATCAATTGTCGTACTTCCTCTAAGTAGATAAGAGACCTTTCACCCCACGAGGAATGACTTGGTCTCTTTTTCTAACTCTTTTCTTTTCTCTTATTCTCTCTCTCTTCTTTCTCTCTCCTTGAGGGCCTCTTCTTTTACCCTCCACTAATGCTCATTATTTGGTGTACAAGGGTAATTCCCTTTGGAGTATTAGGTTGGTGATTAGGGGAAGGGAAGTAGGTTGCCCACTTTTTTTTTTTTTTTTTTTTTTGAAGACCCTTTCCTTCACCCTCTACTAATTGTCTATGATGGGCTAGTGATTCCGAGAAAAGAAGTAGGCTGTCTCTTTTTTTTCTTTTCTTTTTTTTCATTTTTTTTCTTTTTTTTTTAAGAGAGAGAAAGGGAGGGAGAAAGAAATAGAGAATCGAGAGAGAGAGAGAGGAGAGAGGGTCAATCCTATGGATATAGATCTTTACCTTCTCATGGGTTCAAGCTAGCTGATGGTACTAATGAGATCTTGAGAGAGGTGCTAGGTTGGCGATTCACAACTAATTTGGTAGGTTTGATGTGCTATAGACTTATAGTTCAAAAGTGGGCAAATGCCAACATGTGTTGATAGTTCTATGTCCTCACTATTTGAGGGTGATAGATAGTAGATGTAAGGTGATTATGAGGAGAGTAATGATTAGAAGTAATATACCCGAGTGAATTACGATGTGCTCTATTGTCTGTCTTAAATATTCTTTATACTTGACCTTGAAGTTAATCAAATCTAAATCTGGGAAGAATTCAAAATAATAATGGTAAATATATACATAAGAATTCAAATAATACATGTGAACTTATTAATACTGAATTATATAATTTCATTGATTTTAAAAATTAAAAGTATTTTATATGTTGCTGTCAAAACTATCAATATTCATAGAAACTATCATAATCATAAGTAATGATTAATACTTCATAATAAAAAAAATTAAGAGGTAAAGTATGAGTATGGATGCTATATTGATAAATGTTGATAATTTTGATACACATTATGATAAATCATTACTTCTGGATATTGTTGATATAAAATTCATTGATTGAATTTGAACTACTTAGATTGTTGCTCAGAATTTATTAATATAAATAAATACTATTGAGATCATGATTTTAAAATTTTCTTAATAAATACTATTGAGATCATGATTTTAAAATTTTCTCAATAAATACTATTGAGATCATGATTTCAAATAAATACTATTGAACTGCTAAAATTTTCTCAATTTTAAATATATTTTATCATGGAAGTTATGATTTTACATATTGAGATCATGATTCATTGTCTATTCGATGCTCAAATTTTTTTTGAAGTGATTTAGATCAGTTATGATTGTGAAATTGTTACTTTATTTTGAGATATGTTACTAGTATATTTTGAGAATAATAATTCTTTACTGGATTTGATTGAGTAATAAGCTTCAGATATAGATTTTTTAGAATCACTTCAAAAATCCTATAGTTTTTTAGAATTAAAATTTATAAATATTTATGATTGAATAAACTAGATCAAAGATGTAAGAAATATTTGACCCAAGTCATATAATTAGGATCTAATTAATTCAACCACCCTTTCTTGATCTAAGTGCAACCTAACATACAACAAAAAAAAAATTAATCACTTACAATGATATCTAAATGTTGAATTGATATGATATTTTGTGATGCTGATGATTGATATAAAAGTTTGGACATAAAAGAGTTTATAGCAAAAAACCTATATATGTTAATATATGAATTAGAAGAATAAGATAGATAATATTTCATTGACACATTATTTGGAAGCCCCTTCATAAGGCTATTTATAAGCCCAAAATTTCAACTATTAGATATCAAATCTGTGACATATGATTAGTCAAAGTTGATTGAATCACAACCAATGTGAGATTTTATCTAAACAATTAGATGTTGATTTTTTGATAAGTATATTTAAATATGTTCCTAGAAACTTTGTTTTTATTTGATATGATTAATTATTAAAATAAATATTAAATAACCTGAATTTTATATGATTAATTATCAACTTTAACTTCCTTAAACCTAACATGTTAGATCATATGTGGGTTGTGTAGACTAATTGACTTTATTTCTTGATTTAGTATAGCTTTGAGAAGTTGACTTGAACACTTTGGAGAACATTATTTAAGATTCTATGATTACCTTTGTTTAAGTGATGGACAAAATTTTTTTAGAACTTATGACATGATACTTTATGGAGACTTTGCCACAAGCTTTGACTGGAGGTAGCTTTGTATTAGGCAAGATGATGATAACTTAGAATGAAGGATGGTTAAAGAAGTAATGATGAGAGAAAGCCTCCAATAGGACATCATTATGAGGGCTTGGAATGAGGGTACATTTAGCTCTTTGACATATTAGGTAAGTCATTGATATTATTGAAGGATACAAAGCTTTGTCCAAGTAAAACTAATTTTATCAATGCTATCTTTATCTTTAGTTTGGAAAATGGCTTCAAATTTTGTCCCCAAAAATTGACAAATTATCATTGTTTGTAGTTGTTTAAACAGCCACTTCAAACCACCTAATGGCTACTTTAAGAGACATACCACTCAATATTTTAGTTTATTTTCTCTTGTCATAATTGTGTTATGGAGTAAGTTGAATCCTAAGATCAACTTCTTTTCCCAAAATAACACTAGTGACAACATGACATTAAAATAAAATAGATTATGCCAAGATGCCATAAAATGACCATTTTACTTTGTTTGAGTTTTGTCAACGTCAAACACTATAAACTCAAAGTCAATACTATGCTTTATTGAGTAGGTTGGAAATATTTTATTACTATGCACCTGATGGATATGGAGTTTCAATTTCTTTAAATTGTGATGAGTTTATGAGACGGAAGAGGGCTTGGAATGTTTAGGCATGCCCCTTTAGCCAGACAAGTAATCATTGGGAGCTTTGGGAGTTAGAACAAGAAGGAAAATCAATAGGGATGTTGGGAAGAGATAATTTTCTTCAGTTTATATTCATATAATGAATATTTATGAATTGGAGAAACGAAAAAGACAAAAAGATGTTCAAACACTAAGATTAAATCTGAAGGAGATTCTTGGGGGAGATCTTACGAGATACGGCCACTATAAGCTATAGTCATGAAGCTTAGCAAGTAAGAAATACTCCAAAGGAGGAAATAGAAGATGACAGGTTGCCTCGCACCTGTAGGGGGAGGAAGGGTTTAGAAACTCAAAGGGAGGGAAGAAAACAGAACACCAGCAGAACAACCGCGGTGGAAGAAAGACTTGGTCGATTTAAGAAGCGACCCGAGAAAAGGAGCTTTGGAGCGAAGCCCATGATGTGCACTGTACAGTCTTAATTTCCAACTCCAATAAATGCGGCTGTCGGTACAGAGTCGTACCCTATCTCCTTCAAAAGAATCTCACTGATATTGGTTCTTTCGAGGAAACGAAAAAAGGGGCCGCAAGGTCGATCGAAGGTGAAGGAAATGGATTCCTCTTTCATGTCTCTTCTTCTCCGAGAACGAGGATGCGCTTCGTCCACAGTCCTGAGCTTAGGGGTTGAAGAGGCGATTGCCGCAGCGGCACTTCCAGCCCAAGGGTTTGTAGTTGGGGTACCTCTTGTAGGGCGACTCGTCGTCCATTGGAACCAGCGGTCTCCCTTTCGGGCCCGGTAGCGTCGGCACTTGCACCGCCATGCAGGGGTTGCACTCGTTGCAACGGTTGTGACAGCTCGGGGGCGTCGAGCCCAGTCGGATTTTGTCTTCCATTAGCATGCTCTGTGCAAAAGAGAACAACCATTTTATCCTCCGAGATGAAGATGATAATAGAAGCAAGAAAAACCTAGGAAGTAGAGAAGGGAAGATCCTATCAAACAGACAGAACAGCGAACAAGCAAAGACGACTCTACAGAAAATAGGAATGAAGATATAAGATCTGCGAGAAAACAAGTAGGGAGATAGAGACATCTAAGTGTATATATATATAGAGAGAGAGACACCTGAGTAGCGACCGCAACTCCGTTTAGGGAAGAGGCTCGGGAGATCGTCTGATGAGTAGAAGCCTGCAATTCGTCCGCCGATTTCACAACAGGGACGAGACTCTGAAGAATCAGGACCAGAGCTGTAGCAAAGAGAAACTTGGTCATGGGACCATCTCATTGCACCATGAGGAAGGAGATGTGGGAGAAATCGAGAGTCTCCCGGTGGTAACGCCGTCCTCTCTCTTTTGAAAAGGTTCGAAGGGATTGGTCACACCGAATGGAGGGATTCCTGCCAGGGTTTGAACATTATGCCGTTCATGTAAGGGGCACCATATACACCATTGAGAAGAACAGCAACAAAACAGAATACGAGAGATAGAGGAGACTAGGTGGAGGATGGCCGGAATGCTGATACAACCGCTTGGCGTCACTCTCCCTTCTCTACCAAAGCCCTCAAGCAGATTCCAGGGAAAGAAAGCGCTGGCTCGTGGGGGTCAAGGGTCAGTACCCGGGCAAAAATTAATGCTGTCCCACTGTGCACACCAGAATGTACGTTGACTGTGGCCAAAGAAACCGAGCGCGAGAGAACTAGAGTAAATATAGCAGGAATTTGTTCAGGTTAGCTGCATAAGCACTAGAAACGTATGGGGGGGGGTGGTGATTGGGTTGCGAATTGTAAACAGTGATTTATCTTTCTACTGCAGACCTTTTACTGACTTGTTCAGTTCTGTACAGAGCGCAATTAGTCAAACAGGGCGCAGGCGTGGCAGAGTGATGGCAGAACGAGTTTCAGACACAGATCATTATATTATATGCCTAGAGAGAAGAGAGAGCAGAAAAAGGCAGATAAGACAGTTTGGGAATACATTAGCATTCCACTGCTTCGCACTCCGCTGGAAATATGGTTTTATATCTTATTTTTGACAGAAAAAGAACAGTTGAAGAAGATACTTGACAACAGTAAGAATTACAGTAAGGTGCTTCCCCCGAATCTTGTCCGACCGACACGGAGCGTGCCATAGGTATTCTCTCCATTCTCCCTCACGTTATACGATGGACAGTCATTGCCGAGAACCGGAAAATACCGGCGAGACAGGGACCTATCGAGACTTGTCAAACGCCCGATGAATAAGACTACCCAATCTCATATTGTCTTTGTCTACGTTGTTACTTACGGTTTGCGTGTTAACCCATGTAAATCTCTCTCACTCGACATAGATGTGATGATAAAGAGATGGATACGTTTCATCTTATCCTCCTTACATAACGATAGATCCTAGAAATACCCTCGTATATCGGATCTGAATTATTTTGAAAAGATTAATCAACCTATGATTATGATGCGTTGACTAAATGGAAAACTAATTGACGAGAAAAGAGAGGGAATCATTGGGATCCAGCTTCAGAGGGAGGCCAAGTGATCTATTTGCGTGCATGCCGGTGACTACCACCGCCAGCCTGTTGCCACCCGTACGACTTCTTTTGCTCCTGCCGCGGTCGGTCCAATGGAGATGCTAGATCGGCGAGGGTGTAATGGGAAAGAGATCAGTAAGGGTTATGGGGGTGACAAACGGGCGACGGCCAGAAAGCAAGCTTTTCACCCCTCTTTCTTTGCCGATGATACATGCAGCCTTTTGTACCCAGATAGCTTTTCTTCTCACCAGTCCAGGCTGGGAGTCTGCCACTAGTGACAAAAAGTCACTCTCTCTGTCTCTCTCAAGCATGTGCCAGTGGGCCTCCTCGGCTTCGCCGGCAATGTTTCTACGTGGTTCTTTGAAAACAGAATGAAGTTGGGGAGGACAAGCATGAGACGAGAATGAGAGAGTACTTCAAACCCTCCCGGTCGTCTTCAACATTACTCGAAAAATCATGCATTTGTATGAGACGGCTTCCTCGGGGACTCGATAGAACTTGCGTGCAACTCTATAATTCGTGCCTGGTCCTGCCCTTTCGATCAGTAGTCCCTTGTTAGATGCGAAATTTCAGAGCATGTATCAGATAAGGCTAAAGACTCTTCTCGAAATGAGTTCGTAGTTGTGATTTCAATATTATATTGTCTCGTGAAAGTCAATGATATGAGTTCGTAGTTTGAAGAATCTCTATATTTTCCATGTTTTCACCTCCGTTAATTATTGATCGATCATATATCACATCTTCTTACATATAGTTACGAATTCGTTTCAAGTAAAATTTCGTGAGTTGAACAAACTAATCATATATACATTTCATTATTACTCAAAATTGTGGCAACTATTTTTTCAGTTTTATTTCTACTTTTGTATGATAAGTAATATAAACATACTTGCAGAAAATATTATGTAATATCTTTATGATAGTAGAAGTGTCAAAAGTGAAAGACAAATAGCTGACTATTTTTGAAAAATACTAGACTTCATAGTCTTTTTCAAAAATAAAGAAGTACGCCATAGCTTTCATATAACAAAATTATTTTTCATGATATTTATAATCTGTTAAATCCAGACAAATAGATCGTTTTGTTTTCCAACAAAGGTTATGGTCATTTCAAGTTTCACATGTTTGTATACGATGTCAAAAATGGTGTCAAATTTTGCATTAGTGCAAGTAAAAAAATGATGACAACCCCCGCAACTATAACTAGTTACTTTATAAAACGCTACATTTGGTTAGTATTCGGTTGGAACATAATATTGAAATCCAGATTTGTCTCTTAATCCATTAAGTCGTTTTTGGAAAGTCAATGTGTGAGCTGAAGTTTCATTCACGATCTTCTTCTAAATGTCCAGACAATTACGTCACATTATGTACAATGAGAAGTATTGGAACAATGGCCGAGACTAGGATGCTAATGGGCTGCACTCAGGCCATATCTAGTCAAGCAAGATCCCTACAAACTTCACGTGTAGGCATATTTGACAGATAGGAAGGAAAGAGCCAGAGGGCAGCGAGGACAGAAGAAAGTGAGATATTGACCATTTGGTGACTGTTGGGAACAGGCATAGAATAAACGAGAATCGAGTCTAAACTTTCCACAAGGAACAATTCGAAATGTAGGCATGAGTTTGAGATTTGCCCTGGTAGGACCAATTTGATTTCGGAGAAACTTAGAAAAAGCTGCGACGACCGTGGTCGCTTCTTGTTGAAATCCTTGGTCACTATGGAACTCTGAGTCTAGACTGCCAATTTGGTTTAACATAAGAAGTGAAATAGACGCAGCCTAGCTCTACCTGAAAGCTTCTGTACGACTAATCTCCAATCGTGAGTACTCAATGATTAGCTGTACGCCCTACCAGAATAACGAGATTCATCATGTTTATAAACGTGGGTGTCACGAATTTTCCTAATGAGTAAATAATAATCTCCGACTTGTATATGTAACTTCGCAATTGGATGGGAGTTTGCGACCACGCGCAAATATATATCGTCGGTATTACGCCACATGATGAATCATTAAATTTCAGGGGGTTATGTCTGTAAACGGGCAGGGGACAAACGGAGCAGGCGGGCAGACTCACGCAAGGAAAATAAGCATTGATGGGGACAGAAGATATACCGTCAGAACTCACGGGGAAGTTGGAGATTTGCGGGATTTGGAATCAGACAGGCCAACCCTCGTCGTCTACCACATTTTAAATCATTCTCCAGGACAATCATTTCGAGCATTCCAAGCCTTTAAATAGCATAGATTCATCATGACCATTCACTCATTATGCTTGATTTTTTTCATTTAGGAATGACAAAGCCATCCGTCATTCCCTCGGTCTGGGATGGGGACTGGGATCCATACGAACAATTATGATTTTCACTTAATGCTTGCTCGAACCCCCGTTTCCGTGTGCGATTCAACGGACAGCTCAACATGGCCGTTTCAATCTGAACCTGATTTTCTTGAAGGTCCCCAGTCTGAAATACGATTCTGCCAAGTAGATAAACAGTATCCCTGTGCCAAATATTACAAAATGAAAAATGTTCCAGAGAGATGTGGAAGGTGATAGCGGCTTAATTAGAAACAATGGACTGAGAGCCCTTATTCTGACGACGCGCTAGTTAAAGCAACTGTCAGCAGGTTCTATATATAAATGAAATACTTCAGAACTGCACCTGCCTGGATAAGTGTGCGTCTTCAACTAGAATCCCTACGATTTCTTAAATTCTAGGCATGCGAAGATCTTTGGAAACGAACTTCAGGCAATGCTAACAAGTTATACCAGTGAACACCCCATCTTATAACAAATGGGAATCTAGATGAATAAACATGGAAACAAAAAAATCAAACCTCCAAAATCAATAAATTAATATAATTATCCTATTATCCTTATTTTTTATGGGAAAGTCTAACTTTACCATCTGAAGTCTAATGAAATATCAATCTTTTCTGGTATGATTTTCACGAAATAAGCTGAATAAAAACATCAGTGAGATCGTGTAATAGAACATTACCCTAGGAATGACTAGGGCCAAGTTAGTGACTTAGGAAGCCCAAAATTGTGGGGCCATTGACCACAAAGTTTTGAAGGTTCAAAAAACAGTCAAGCCCAAATTTAACCAAGCAGGCCCAAAACACATTCAAGCCCAAAATTCAACCAGGCATACACAAATCGCATCAATAACGTGCTAAGTTTCAAAGGACAAGTCATTTTTATTATCAATTCAGTTTTATATTATTTTTTAAGCTAATCTGATTTTTTTTGGAGATGAAATTAATTTCGGTATATCTGAAGGATAACTTATTGTAGCATTGAAGAAAACTATGCACATTTATGTACATTTAAAGGATTTTTCAGATCATTCCTTATTAGCTTAAGGATTTTATTACAGATCTTGTGTCTTAAAGATTTAAGGTCTGATTTTGATTCTTCTTTGACTTGCACTGAATAATGTGGTATCATCCTCTTGGAGCATATATGAGAATGTAACCATACCAATGGCATTATATATGAAGCAGGGGCTTATCAAGATTATTTTTTGAGTTTTTTAAAAAAGAAGCAGACATGGATTTAAGTATTC